TGTAGATTATCTGAGATTTCCTGTATCAACGGTCATGCCGCTTGCAAATACAGAGTGTTATCTTTCTTCCTTTCTGGTCCTTTTCCTGCCCTGTTGCCCCGGCCAGCCCGATGTTGGACAGCAGTGGGGACAGTGGGAGGGTGGACACCCTTGCCCTGTTCCTGGCCTTGGAGGAGCGTCTGCAGATGCTCCTTACCTCGCTCAGGAGGCACCTCCGTTACTGATTTCCTGGGTGTTTATCACGCGTGGGTCTTGAACTTTGTCACATACCCCCTGCAGCAGTTGATGTGACCACGTGGTGTTTCTTCTGTAGCCTGTTGATAGGATGCATCCTATTGACTGATTTTTTTTTTTTTTTTTTTTTGAGACGGAGTTTCACTCTTATTGCCCAGGCTGGAGTGCAGTGGCGCAATCTCGGCTCACTGCAATCTCCGCCTCCCGGGTTCAAACTCCTGCCTCACCCTCCCTAGCAGCTGGGATTACAGGCGTGCGCCACCATGCCCGGCTAATTTTTGTGTTTTCAGTCGAGATGGGGTTTCTCCATGTTAGTCAGACTGATCTCGAATTCCTGACCTCGGGTGATCCGCCCGCCTCGGCCTCCCAAAGTGCCGGGATTACAGGCGTGAGTCACCGCGCCTGGCCAGCTGGCTCACTATTTAAAAATCCATCGGGCTGTGTGCGGTGACTCATGCCTGTAATCCCAGTACTTTGGGAGGCCGAGGCGGGCGGATCACAAGGTCAGAAGATCAAGACCGTCTTGGCTAACACGGTGAAACCCCGTCTCTACTAAAAATACAAAAAATTAGCCGGGCATAGTGGCGGGCGCCTGTAGTCCCAGCTACTCGGGAGGCTGAGGCAGGAGAATGGCGTGAACCTGGGAGGCGGAGCTTGCAGTGAGCGGAGATCACGCTACCGCACTCCAGCCTGGGTGACAGAGCAAGACTCTGTCTCAAAAAAAATAAAATAAAAATAGTGAACCAGCTTCCTGCCTCTAGAGTAAACTCTACTTGTCACGCGTGGGGTGTGGCTCTTTTCCATGTTGTTGAGTAGAAAGTTTGCATCCATATTTTTGAGGGATATTAGTCCATAGTTTTGTTTTTATCTGGTTTTGGTATCAGGGTTATACCTAGCTTCACAGACTGAGCTGGGCCGTGTTCCCTCGTATCAAGGTAGTGCTAACTCTTCTTTCAGTGTGTAACGGACTTGCCGAGACTCTCCGAGGCCTGTGTCAGCACTGCGAGTGCACAGAGGAGAGGTCCTCCAGCTCCCCGGGGCCCCCAGGTTTCCCAGAGAGGGGGTATCCCGGCAGGGTAGCGAGGAGCGTGCAGGATTGGTCAGGCAGACGGTGAGATTGGGCTGGAGGAAGGATGCTTGGGGCAGAGTCGCTGCCCACGTACGTGCAGTACCCTAGCATCGCGCTTTTCTGGCAATGCCTCCTCGTGTTTTCGGGACCTGCTGATGGTGTGGTTTTCCTGCTGCTGCCTCTCGTGGACGGACTGGAGCAGCCCAAGGGCGCTACTGTCACCTGGGCATGCTTGGCGGTGGGGGTGGGTGGCTGTGGCCTCCGCTCACTGGGGCCCCCTGGGCCTCACACCCCCGCAGTGGATTCTTGTGATGCTACGAGAGTGATTCGGCAGCCAGGAGCCTCACCGAGGCCCTCCGTGGCACCTTCTCTGCTCTGTCCAACAGTAGATCCACCTGCGGGGGCTTCATCCCCAGCCCCAGGTTCCATCTCAGAGACCTTATTTTCAGGCGGGCCGAGTGCGAGGGACATGTTCGGGCAGCCCTGTGGGCCGGGAGCAGTTCTCTGGATCTGGGGCCCATTTACCCTGCGTTGTTTGGGGCGTGGCATGTCTGGAAAGTGGGGTCCGCTGACCACCGGAGCAGGGTGGTTAATTAAAAGAATGTGCCGGACATAGTTATGTCTTTCTTGAATGACTCAGAATGCTCCACATGGCCTCGGTGCCTGGGCCCGGGTTTCGAAGGCTAATTCTTATTACCTGGGGAAGGTTTGGTGACCAGGTTGCTCTCACCCCCTCGGCACGTCCCCACAGCCACACTGTACTCTCGGCCCCCTCCCCGGGCGGTGCTTGCCGGCCATCCCCCCACCTGGGCCATTCTGCCCTCCCTGCAGGTCTCTGGTCTCTGCCCAGGAGCCACCTATGGTGCTGTTCCCTGACTTCCTTCCTCCCCCAGCCATTTTCAATCTCAGAAAATAAGCCTACCCTTAATTTTTCTCTTCAATATTATTACAGCCTCAGCGTAGCCTCTCCATAGACATGCATCTTTGTCTTGTTCTGTCCAGACCCGTAGCACGTAGAACAGCATCCCATATACGGAAGCAGCTCACCAGCTCTCTGGGGTGCCTTCCTCCCCTCTTGGCCCCTCCTCCTGGCCAGGACCTGCCGAGCTGCTGGGGGAGGGGGCTCTAGAGTCTCAGTCTGGACCACTGGCCACTGATGCTTCAAGCCAAGGCAGAGGGAGGGCTCCCTCCTGGCTACTCCACCCCTGAGACTGTACTAGGTACAAGGGGCCCTCAGTCGAGCCTGGGTGGATGTGTGGACTGGTGCATTCATTTAGGTGGTTGGGTGTGCCGGTGCAGTAAGCAGCCCTGCACCTGCTGCTCTGTGTTGGCGCCCAGGGTTGTGGATTGTGGGAAAGCAGGCATGGTGGCACCTGCCTGGGAGGGCCCCAGCTGCCCGGGGAGAGTCCCACCTGCCTGGGGAGAGTCCCACCTACCCAAAGGGAGCACCACCTGTCCGGGGAGAGTCCCACCTACCCAAAGGGAGCACCACCTGTCCGGGGAGAGTCCCACCTGCCCAGAGGGAGCCCCACCTGCCTGGGGAGAGTCCCACCTAACCGGAGGGAGCCCCACCTGCCCAATGCCACAAGCCTATGTGTGGCTTCGGGGGTTGGGAGACAGCACAGCCCCACAGGCGAGTCACTGGGCAGAACCTAGGAAAGCGTAGCAGCTGGTAGTACGTGTCCACCTTTGCTGGGTTCAGTTCCCCCTCTGTGAAGTGCAAAGAGCGTGGTGGCTGGAAGCATGAGATGGAGTGGAGTGAAGCCCCTGGGGGCCACGGGTCATCAGCCAGCACCGACTCCCTGTCCCTGTGGGGCTGGTGGCCCAGCCTGGGGAACTGCACCCCACTGCCAGGACAGCTTCTCCTGCTCATGCTTTTGCCCGTGTCTCTCAAAGCAGCCCAGAGCCACCCACACAGAACTATGGGGAGAAGAAACCTGGTCCCCGGGCTCAGGTGTGGAGACGGGTGGCTGTGCCGGTTGGTGCGCTGGTGAAGACAGCGGATGAGCAGGGTTGGCCTGTTCGTGGAGGCGGGTGGATGCGTGGGTTGGCGCGTTCGGGAAGACGGGTGGATGCGCAGGGTTGGCGCGTACGTGGAGGCGGTTGACTGTATGGGCTGGCGCGTTCATGCTGGAGACACACTGGGGCTCAGAAGGCCCAGAATTGAGTCCCTCTCGTGAAACCGGTGACTGAGCACACGCTTCCTTCTCTGTGAAAGGGGGGTGCGGACACCAGCGGCAGAGACGCTAAACCGGAAGCACTGCTGTGTAGGGGCTGTGGGCAGTGGGCAGGCCATCCCTTCCTGGCCTCCTCGTGTCCACCAGCTCCAGGAGGCCTCCAGTCCCCCCTTGCCTGCCTGGCTGCCACCATGGAGCAGGCCTCCGCTTGGGGACAGGCCCGGAGGTGGTGAAACAGCCAGGAGGAAAACACAGCCAGCCCCAGGCCTGACTCCTGCCTTGCAGATCCTCATTCAGCAGGGGACTGGGGCGCCCACACCCTCTCCCCAGGCGGGGGTGGCCTCTAGAGCAGGCTCCGCAGCCAGAGCACAGTGTGTTTCAGACCCTGACGCCTTGGGAGGGAGTCTAAGCCCAACCTCCGGGCTCACTGTGCTCTGGGTGGCCAGTGTGGCTCCCTGCACCATAAAATTGACCTGCAAGGCAGGTCAGGCACCGTGCTGCATGCTTGTAATCCCAGTCAATGCTTTGGGAGGCCGAGGCAGGAGAATCACATGAGCCTAGGAGTTCCAGCCTCCTATGCCATGCAACATAGTGAGACCCCGTCTCCAAAAATTAAAAATTAGGGTGGGCATGGTGGTGCACCTGTAATCCCCACACTTTTGGAGGCCAAGGCAGGAGGATCACTTGAGCCCACAATTTCGTAACCAGCCTGGGCAACATAGTGAGACCCCGTCTCTACAAAACATTAAAACATTAGCAGGACACGGTGGTGCACTCCTGTAGTCCCAGCTACTTGGAAGGCCGAAGTGGGAGAATCACTTGAGCCCAGGAGGTTAAGGCGGCAGTGAGCTCTGATGGTGCCACTGCACTCTGACCTGGGTACCAGAGCAAGACCCTATCTCCAAAAACAAACAAGCAAAAAAATTGATCTGCAGCTGTAGTCCCAGGGCAGGGAACACACAAGCCAGAAGAGATCTAGACGCCCTCTGTGTGGTAAGGAAAAGGCGGTGTGACTCATGCCTGGATTCAGCCAGTCGGTTTTGAGCACCTCCTCTTTGCTGAACACGTGGATGCCATGGCAGAGCTAGGCTCCTGCCTGCAGGGCCTGGACAGGGAGATGGGGGCAGACTGCGGGAGATGGGGGGACGTGGAGTCAGACTGGGGGAGAGATAGGGGCAGACTGGGGGAGATGGGGCAGACTACGGGAGATGAGGGACATAGAGTCAGATTGGGGGAGAGAGAGGGGCAGACTGGGGAGATGGCAGACTGGGGGAGATGGCAAATTGGGGAAGATGGGAGCAGATTGAGGGAGATAGGGGACACGGATTGGGGAGAGATGGGGCAGATTGGGGAGATGGCAGACTGGGGAAGATGGGGGCAGATTGGGGGAGATGAGGGGCATGGAGTCAGATTCGGGGAGCGATAGGGGGAGATTGGGGGAGGTGGGGCAGACTAGGGGAGATGGGGACAGACTGGGGGAGATGGGTCTATGGGGACAGATTGGGGGAGATAAGATAATGGAGGCAGATGGGGGAGATGAGAGAAGTAGGGGGACGATGGGGGCTGGGTGGGGGGCGGTCAGAGGCAAGTACGTGCAGCGACACTGCACGGGGGAGGGGGTGCGCTCTCCACGCCGGTCGCACAGTTGGACCGAAGGCTCGGGACGGCCAGAGCTCCCTCGTCGGAGGGGCGGTGGGGCTGCAGCAGGGTCCACCCCCGCCCTCCCAGCGCCGAAGCCCCGCCCCCGCTCTCCCACCCCCACGCCGAGGTCCCGCCCCCGCAGGCGAGCTGGCGTCACCGTCCAGCCGGCTGGATCTGGTTCTAGCCGCGCCGGGCCGGCCGGGCATGCGCAGTGCGGGGGCGCTGCGGCTGCTGGAGGTGCGGACCCCGCGGTGCGCACTGCGGCCGCATCCCTGCCCCGGCGCCGTACGTGCCCGCGGGACCTGACAACCGGGGCAGAGGTCAGTGCTCGGGGCCGCGGCCGGACCAGGGCTGCAAGGAGGGGAGAAGAGGGGAGGGAAAGGGACTGGCCCTGCTCCAGCCCCGCTCCGCGGCGACAGGTGGGCGCTCCCGCGGGAGGCCGTGGCGTCCGGGCGCTGCTGCGGGCCCCGCTCCGCCCTACAGACCCCGGGCCGACCGGGCAGCGCTTCTCGGGGCTGCGCTGCGCGCCGTTCCCCGAGCAGGCCCTGGACGGTCCCGCGCCTCCTCCCCTCCCTGGGGGCGCAGGGCCGGACCGCGGGTGGCGGGGTGGGGGTCCAGGCCCTGCAGGCGCTGCGACCCCTCGAGCGCCGCTGCAACCGGCCGCGCACCCCTGCGCTGTGGGGGGGGGGCCGGGCCCCCAGCCGCGATGCAGCAGCCCCCGCGGGAGACACGAGCTCTGAGGACCCCGGGTGGTCTAGAGTCGCCGGCCGCCTCGTGACCCCTGGGAGGACCTGTGTCGCCCGCAGCGCCGCCTCGCCCCTCCCTGTGCCGGGGGAGAGGATCCCATCGGGCGCCCGGAAGCCCGGGGCTTTCTTGTCTGGGGCGAGGCGGCCCCCGTGGCGCGGTGGGTGCTAGTGCGAAGCTGCGTCCGCTAAAGCAAACACTCATAATGAAAACAGTCGGGTTAGCTTCACTCGGGAGCCTTCCTGAGGACGGCGGAGCGGGCCGGCAGCTCCTTCCAGAGGCTGCGCTGCTGCGTCGGGGTCAGCCGGGTTTGGGTGGGTGGGCGAGCGCAGAGGTGTGTGGAGCGGGTCTTCTATCTTCGGAGGAGGCGGTGGCCCAGGCAGGTGGCGGCCCCGCGCTGGTCCTGCGCTGTGTCCTCGGCGCGTCCTCAGCTGCGGCGTCCAGGCGTCCGCACAGACACGCGGGCGGGGCTGCCGAGCCTGCTGCTGGGCCTCGGGGGGCTGCAGAGACGGCAGGAATGGTGACCCGGAATGGTGACCGTTGCTTCAGAGTCCTTTGGCTATGAGTAACTCACCGAATTGAGTGTGAGTTTTATGAATTCGTTGTGTTCGCTGAAGAGCTATGGCGGAGTGAGAAAACCTAACGCATACGTAGTTCCCAAATGTGAGTGTTTTCAACTATGTGTAACAACTAACAAAATTGACGTAATGATCCACTTCACGGACATTTAATTTTGATTCTGTCATTTCCTCATTTTAGAGGCGGTACCATGTTTTGTTTTTTTCCCGTCGCTCAAACATCTTCGAGGCTCCTGCACGGCTGGTGCTGTGCCTCCGGGCCCAGGTGACCTCGGGGGGAGAAGGAAGGGACCACTGAGATGAGAATGTAGTTTTGCTGTTTTCAGTTTACACTCAAAGCGCTGCAGTTTCCTGACACTACAGAGCACACCTGTCACGCCGGCAGGATGAAGCACAGAGGCTGCCTGGTGAAGTGGGCTGCGCGCTAGAAAATCCACGTGCGGAGTAGCTTGGTTCTCTCCACGGGGAGCGTGCCAGGCCCTCGGGCGCCGCGGGAGCCTCGCCTTCTGCACAGGCTTCGGAGCCAGGTGCTGGAGCCGCAGTGACTGAGGGGCGTGGATGTCTTTGCACGTTTCCCATATGTTTTTCAAACGTTAATAACGTGATTTTCAGTAAAGTGGCAGAATCAGCATTGAAGAAAGGGGAGCAAGTGCGAGCCGCTTTCCTGCGAGCGGTTGAGAAGCAGGCTTTGTGTGGTTGGCCGCCCCTGTGCTTAGCGGCTGCTCAGCCCTGCCCCTGCTGCCCCTGCGGGAGCCGCCTTCCCAGCTTAGAAACAACACTGCCTCCGACTGCTAGTTATCGGCGGCCTCCACAGGGAAGCTGAGGCAGGTTCGTGTTCTCACAGCTAGGAAGGACGTGGCCCTGGCAGGGAGCTGCAGCACAGCCTCTGGCAACACAGAAGCACTGCCCTGCCGGACCCTTGCCTCCCAGGTCAGCTGTTGTCCGCCCAGCAGCCGGAGCGCTTGCTCGCGTGGACTCTTCAGCGGTGCCAGGTGCAGCTGGGCTCCACCCTCAACTGGCCCAATAGTAGGGAAATAAACGAGAAGTGTCGTGAATCGTTAGACAGCATCTGTATGTCTAAGTTCAAATTAGAGCCGCCCAGCCACACGTGTGGATACAAAGCTGCCATTCAGTGGGGAGCCGGAGCCTAGGGGCCTGTGTCACTCCCCTGGATGTGGATGTGGGTGAAGGTCACCCAGAGGCCCTGCCCCCTTGTCACCTCCCAGAATGTCGGCAAGGCCTCTGGGATCTGGGGTCAGGAGTTCCAGGAGGCTCGCTTCTGCTTCTGCCCAGTTCACTGTTCCCTCCACGGCAGCTGAAGCTTCAGCTGCTGCACGGCCCACCCAGCCAGGGCAGAAGGGAGCCCTCCATCCCAGGCAGTGCCCTGGTGGGTGTCCGTCCTGTGGCAGACACTGGCCGTAGAGGTTGAGAAAGGAGAGGACCCTAGCCTGCCTCTGGAGGCCCAAGGGAGGCAGTGAAGGGCCCGAAGCTGCGATGCAGGAGTTTCCAGAGCACAGGGGAATACGGAGCAGGAAACACCAGCCCTCAGCTCCACTGGGGAGCCACACAACCTCTGCCAGTGCTGAGTGGCTACAGGGCTCTGTTACCAGCCCCATTCCTCCTGGACAGGCGAGGTCGGTCCGCATCGCACCCCCCAACCTCTTGTGCTCTGTGACCTCAGAGTACACAAAGCCGTGTCCACAGGCCTCAGCGGCTGTGAGCCCCTCGCCTACACTGGGGGGTCCTCAGCTGACACCTGAGCCAGTGTCCTGTGCCCCAGTGGTGCCAGGACAGAGTCCCCATCCCCAACCTGATTTGTGCACCTCCTCACTCACTGCCAGCACTGTCCCCCCACCAACAGGCTTGCTCAGTACAGCACCAAACCCAGGTCCCTAGCACCCACACCCCAGTGAGTTTCCTACACCCTGTAGGCTCAGCTGCTTCTCGTCCTCCGCCCACCTAGGATCCTTGGAACAGGGAGTGGTTCTTATTTAGGTCCCTGAGGTACCAAGTACAGGCTTCACTCTTAGCAGCCGCCACCCCAGTGATGAAGCTGATAGCCTAAGCAGACTGGCCCCTGCAGAGCTCTGGGGGGAGGTACCTGGCTTCTCGGGCCTCCACCCTGGCCCACAACTGCCTCCAGGCCCAGAGCAGCAGATCGCAACCTGCCTGCCCCTGGGGCTGGGTCTCCAGCAGTCAGGACTGAGCTGCTGCTAGCTGCTGACTGGTTCCTTCTGGCTGGGCAGGTGTGGGGTGAAGGGGGCGCATTTGCCCCGTGTCCCCATCGGCTGCATCACCACACATTCCCTTGTGACACCTCCGACTAGAACAGACCAGGAGTGTGGGAGGAGCCCCCACCTGCTCCCCCAGCTCCCCGGGGTTGTCTTCTGTCTGCTCCTTTTGTCTTCCACACGGAAGAGCGTGCTCCGGCCGGGGATGGGCACGCGTGGTGCTGGGGAATGGACACCTGTGAAATGGTGGCGTGTGCATCAAGTCTAAATAGCCGTTCGCAGGTTCTTGGGGCTTTTTGTTTCCAGAAAGCTGATCTGATCTTTATAGAAAGTGCTCCTCTGTACTCCAGCCTGGGTCTCCCTCCCGTCCAGGCCGGCAGCACTGTCTGACTCAGTGAGGAGGGGCTGAAACTGGAGAGCCCCTGGGAAGACTCTTGAGGGCCAGGTGGCAGCGGGGAGGGTGGCTCTCGTTCCCTGCCCTCATCCTAGCGTTTAGCAGACTGCCCCACACCGCAGGTTTCCATTTTCACCCTTGGGTTAAGAGAAAAGCAGGAATAAAAAGTTTCTAATGTTGCTCACGAAATTCAGCACTGGCTATCAAAGGCACCTGGAGCTCCCATGTCTCTCCTGCCCCTATGGGGCTCCTGCGTCTCTCCTGTCCCATGGGTCCGTTTCCTGCTGTTTGTTGCAACCCGCCTGCATCGTTGGTGTGTGCGGCTGAACTCAAGCTGTTTAGGAAGCCCACGGGCAGGGCTCTGTGGAGCCCATTCCTGGTCCCACATCTCTGGCAAGGACTCCCCTTGAGCTGCGGCTTCTGAGCTCCTCCAGGCGGGCGTAGGGAGGCAAGTCCCACTGTCAGCCAAGCCGCAGGATTTTTAAGAAGAAAGTGGGGGCTACGCACCGCGGCTCACACCTGTAATCCCAGCACTTTGGGAAGCCGGCCGGAAGGATCACTGCAGACCAGGAGTTTGAGAGCAGCCTTGGTCCTATCTCTATAAAAAATTTAAAAACTGGCCAGGCATGGTGGCACATGCCTATAGTCCTGGCTACTTGGGAGGCTGAGGTGGGAGGATTGCTTGAGCCCAGGAGGTCGAGGCTGCAGTGAGCTGTGATGGTGCCGCTGCACTCCAGCCTGGGCCACAGACCAAGACCGTGTGTCAACAAGAAAAAGCCTCTGTGGAAGGACCTCCAGTCCCCTGGCCTGGGCTGCAGGGGCCGCTGCTCCAGCCCTGCCTTCTACATGTGCCAAGATGTGAGCAGTCAGCCCTGGAGATCCTCACGCCTTCTCTGTAGAACGAGGAGTCAGGCTGCCAGGGATTGGGGTCTGAGTGCATTGCTGTCTGTGTGTGTGTGTGTCTGTGTGTGTGTGTCTGTGTGTGTGTGTGTGTGGAGTGCATTGCTGTCTGTGTGTGTGTCTGTGTGTCTGTGTGTGTGTGTCTGTGTGTGTGTGTCTGTGTCTGTGTGTGTGTGTCTCTGTGTGTGTGTGTGTGTGTCTGTGTGTGTGTCTGTGTGTGTGTGTGTGTCTGTGCGTGTGTGTATGTATTTCTTGGGAAGAGGGCCCCATGGTCTTCGTCATGTTCTCCAGGGCCCAGTTGGAACGAGTTGGAATTTGGATGGGGAGAAATGTGGAGTAGGGCAGGAGCCTCCTTCCTAGGAAGGAGCCTGCGGGGGACCCTGCATGGGGTCCCAGATTCCCAGGGGGCCTCAGGTGTGGTGTTAGAGGGGCGCTGGGGCTGGCAGTCTGTCCGTGTCTTCAGCCTGGGTCTCGTGAGTTCAGGGAGTTTGAACCTGGGTGGAGAATGAACCCCTGTGTGTCTTCACTAACCTCCAGCTGACACGAGCTTCCGCAGACCCAGCAGTGGCGGGTGTGGGTGCTCCCCGTGCCATCTGTTGGGGACACCTCACGCGTCACTTGCGCTTGGCCCATATTGCAGCTGCAGGAGCCACCAGACCCTATAAATACTTGGCTGCCCACATCTGCTCGTATGTATCTCCCTGTGCCTGTGCATCAGGCCTCATGCGTTTAAAACGTCCTTCTGAAAAGGGGCCACAGGCAGGCGTCACCCGTTGCCACGCCACTGCGGCAGGAAGCGTCCCATGCTCCGCAGGGGCGGGGCGGCCGCTCTCCCTGTCCTCCAGGAGCTCACGTGTGCCTGCCTGTGAGCGCCTCGACGACAGAGCCGGCGCCCGCCCCAGTGTCTGCGCCGGGACCAGAGTGGCCAGCTCACCGCGGAGACGTCACACTTTGTAGCAGCGCCTGGACTTTATGCGCTTCTGATACGATGTGTTTTAATCAGTATAAACATGAAAGGGGGAGAGCGTGGGACGTTCCACTGGTGTCCTCGGGAGGAAGTAATGGGAGGGAGGACGGTTGGGGGGATTCACCTTTAAAGAATTTGAGAGCTTGTGTATTTTGTGGAATAACGGTAAATTAATCCCCTGTGTGTTTCTGATCATTAAGAAGACCCCATCGATGCTGTTGGTCGTGGGACTGTCATTTCACAGTGCGGATCTGAAGGTGGTCTTGGCTACTCTGTGAGGGTTGCCCTGGGAGGAGGTGGTGGAGGGCACGTGGGCGTCCCATGTTCCCTCATGACGGCTGTCGCCTGTAGTTGCCTCAAAAGGCTTAATTTAAAAAACTCTTGTTTCTCAGAAAAAGCAGTTTACTACTGTGAGTTAACGCTATGGAATTCTAATAATTGGGGTAATAAATCTGATTAAGGTTTTCTTTAAACTGGAACAGAATCCCCACAGGTGCCCCATGAGAGGGCTGTGGGACGTGGGACGTGGGTCCGGGCTCCTGACCTTGGAACTCCTGGTTGGGGCCTGAGGCGATGCAGGAGACAGAGGAACTCATGGTCCGGGAGGCGCTGGTGGGTGGGGACATGCCTCCCCGCAGGCCTACATCTGTCGTCGTGGGACGGGGGGCAGGGTGGGGTGACACAGGTCCCATGTGCACGTGTCCGGGGTTCCCGTCCTTCTCTCCTGAGCTGCCGTCTCCACCGTGGCTCACCGGCAGTGCAGAGGGGCTCCTGGGGGACTGAGCGTTGGTTGCCCTGTCCAGGCGGCCTCGAGTGCACCAGGACACGGCCTGTCCAGTGTGATCCAGGCCCCACGCCTGTGGGCCGTCGTCACCGTCACCCGGGTGTGCCAAGGGACTTCTGCTTTCCTGGATCGAACCGCGTGACCCAGGCCGGGGGAGCTGCCCCAGGTGCCCCTCGGGCTCCTGCTCCCCAGGACTCACGTTTGCACCCCAAAACCCAGTCTCCCCCCGCAGAAGGGCACGTGGCTTGAGTCCAGGAATTTGCGCATGCGGTTTTGAGCCCTGGACGCTGGGCCCCAGAGCGCCTGGCCTTGTGTGCAGTTGGGGGCGGGGGCGGAGAAGCTTGTACCTCGCCGTCTGCAGCTGCCCACAGCAGTCATTTCACATGTTGGGGCTCTACACGAGATCCCACCAGAGAAGTCTCCCCTCCTTGGGAAAGTTTGTAAGTGTTGAGTCCGTGGCTTGTTTCCCGAGAAGGAGGTGCAGGAGGGTGTGCAGCTGTCTTGCTGTCCTCCACCCCGCTGTGCGGAGCCCTCCCCACCTCCCCTGCGATCCAGGGATGCTCCCCAAGGGCCTGACACAGCAACACTGGAGCCCTGGCCCCGTCACCCGGCTGGCATTGTAGGACAGCAGCACCTGCCTCACTGACACTGTCCCCTGCACGTCTACTGGACGGGGTCCAGGCCGGGTGACCCCTTCACCCGCACAGCAGGGCATGGCAGGCCGGGCTGGTGGCGTCCTTCCCTGCAGCTCCGATTTGAGCAGGGAGCTCTTTATCTTCCCTCTGAGAGACAATGGGTCCTTTCTCTGCCCATCTCTCCTCCGACAAGGCCACTGCTTCCCCAGGGAGCCTGAGCCTGGGGCCAGAGGCAGTGGCCCGACGCCCACAGCTTGAGGTGCACTGGGCGTGCGTGACTCTCAGACACGAGGCTTCTGGGTGGTCTGGGCTCTCCACAGACCCCACACCCTCAATGAAATGCACAGAAGACCAAGGTGCGTGGGTGGGTGCTGCTGTGCGCTGGTGTGCACTGGCGTGTGCTGCTGTGCAGTGGCGTGTGCTGCTGTGCACTGGTGTGTGCTGGCGTGACACCGGAGGGGGAGCGTGTTTTGTCTGGGATCCTCATGTGACACCTCAGACACTGGACAGTCCCGCCCAGACAGATGCTGGTCCAAGGTCACTGCAGGGCCCCGGCCAGGAGTATTTCCGTCTGGTCAGGTGACATTCGCGTCACATGGGCGTTGCTCGCAGAGGGGCCTCCGGAGGAAAGAAAGTGACGGTCAGCACTCAGCCTTTGGCCTCGCTTCACTGTGGGTGAGGAGCTGCCCACCAAGGACGCTCAGGCCAGGTGTCAGGACACACTCCTGCCTTGGTGCCTCCATGAGGGCCGGGCATTAGGGGCCACACAGGCTGCAGCTTCAGTCCCTCTGACCTTCTGGGTTAGTCCTGGGTCCCCCCAATCCTCTGGGTCAGTCCTGGGTCCTCCCTGCTCTTCTGGGTCAGCCCTTCGTCCCCTCCCTGCCTTCTGGTCAGCCCTGGGTCTCCCCACTCTGCCCTCCTTTCTTAGGCGAAGGCTCTGCTCCCTTAGACTTGGGGGGACACGGGAAGGTCTGGCTGGAACAGAGGACTTTTTCTAAATCCTGAATCCAGAGCAGCGTGGATGCCTGCGGGCACTGGCAGCTGACAGCTCGCATGAGCCCAGCCTCCGCAGGGTCTCCCGATGGCCCAAACCCTGCTCATGAGACAGGGACTTGCACGTTCCTCCCTGAGCCTCAGGTTGACGAAGACCTGAGGCCTCTTCCTGACCCCACCTCTCTTTCCTCACCCCCAGCCCCCCACACACGCCTGCTCTCACACGTGGGGGATAGGGAGCCCACACCTGCTGTCACACCCGGGGGACAGGGAGCCCACACCTGCTGTCACACCCAGGGGTACAGGGAGCCCACACCTGCTCTCACGCCCAGGGGACAGGGAGCCCACGCCTCTTCCTGACTCCTCTCTTTCCTCACCCCCTGGCACTCCCCTCCGCCACAATTTAGCAGGGACCCAGGAGCCACCAAAGCCACTTCCCGTCGCATCTCCCTGTTGTGAGGCCGTGGCTGGGGAGGCTCATTCCCAGGCTGGAGAGACTGGGCAGGGGTCACTGTCCTTTCGGGCTGTTCTCAGAGCCCACAGCAGTCCTGTCAGGCCCTGCCTGGAGACTCGGCCCCCACACAGGACCTGCTGGACCAAGGCTGCCTGCTCCTCCCAGCCCCGGGGCTCTCACCGCACAGCTTGCACCCCTGTGCTCAGTGCACTGGGTCAGCACATCCCTGCAGGGCAGGGAGGACCCGCGGGGAAGAAGGGGCTGTAGACGGAATCGGTGCTGGGATCTGAGAGCCGGGCTCAGGCCGGGACAAGGTGAGACCAACCCAAACGTTGCCGTGGCCGGCGGCCGACATACCCTTCTCGGGGCTCTTTTCTGTGCATGTGATGTTCACGGTCGTCACTTAGGAAAATTCAGAACCTTGGACATTGGTGTCCAGTGCAGGAACCTGGTGCCAGAG